TTTTCGCTCATGGGGGAAGACTAGACCTAGAGACCGGGAAGCTGGTTCATGGCCCAAAACTTGAAAGAGCAACACAAAGATTGTCTTATGCTCTACAAGCTAAAGCTATTGGTGCGTTTAGGCCTAATAGAGAGAAGGATGAACTGACGTATGCCATCGGGACCGCTGAACATAGTGGCCAAACGAGAGGTTTAGGACGGAACATTTCTTGGGAGCATGGTTTCCCTGATGACAGAGATAACTACAGAAGCCAGCAGAGAAGGAAGGATGAGGATGCAGCACGGATCAACAGGTTGGAGGAATTGGTTCGTGAGTCACGGGAGGCGTTGCTTCAAGCACAGGAGCGCGAAAAAGACATGTAAGCTAGAATGCAGGACAAAATCATAAAGCAAGTGCAAATAGCAATGAGTGTCCAAAGGCAGCCATCAGATCTAAGAATCAACATTAATATTAGCCCCCCCTGATCAGTTGAAAAGCAGCTGCGCTTCCACGGAGTTGCCAAATCAAGATGACGCAATGCTACGTTTCTCCGTGGATGACATCACTGCACCGTTTACATCATGTGAGCTACATATTCCAAAAGAGAATGCCACAATCATGGTGGCTCTCGGTGTTTTTTCTCCTCCAGATCCTACCAAGACACCAAGAATCCATGGGGCAATAATACAACCTGGATATGTTAGCATCTCAGTGGATAGAGTTAACAAAGGTTTTAGTGATCTGTCTCTTGACATTCTAGGAGGTGATGGGGAGAAGACTCTAGGAGAAGCAGAGAAGGCATTCATACTATGGCGCAAGTGCTACATCATTATTCACGGGGTCTCTAGTCCACCGTCGCTTCCTCAACTGCCAGACAATAGGTGCGGACAAAAGTTAATGAAACATTTTTTTCATAAATTTTTTAATAATAATAATTTCTTAATAATAATAATAATTTCATAAATTTTTTAATAATAATAATTTCTTATACCTAATTATTCTTTTTTGTAATCACACAGCAGGACCTCCGCCAACCTAAGTCCAATTATTCAATCTCCAGATCATCATAGTGCTCCGGGCAATGATTATACAACGCCGCCACCGCCGCCACCTCCAAGGAGGTCTCCAACGCCTCCAAGGAGGTCTCCACCACCGCCACCTCCAAGGAGGTCTCCAACGCCTCCAATGAGGTCTACAATGGCTGCCCCGTCTCCCTTGATGATCAAGAAGCAGCTAGCTCCTAAGAGGTCTGCCCCACAAACGAAGCCGTTGGCCCACCGGCCGGCAAAGAAGAAAGCCTCCTCTAATCCAGTTATTCCCCAAAAACTGTCTTACGAGAAAAGTGAAAAGGAATTAAAGGATACAGTAAAAAAGATGTGAAAAGTTTCTTCGAAAAAGTAAGAAAGCAACAAGAAGTGAGGGAGAACCCGGAGAAACCGTACTTCTACCTACCTCCAGATCTTCTAAGAAAGAAGGTGGACTAGAAAAAGCAGGAATCTCAAAAGACCCTACCAAAATCGGACTACGACCGCTCTCTCACAAAGTCATTTGAGGCAGCGTAGAAAAAAGACTAGAACAGGGAAAGGTGTTGCACAACTCGGACAACAATCGCAACAATCAGTCCCCCCTCTTGTCATTCGTAATGAATATGGTTCAAACTTAGACTTACCGAATGTCGATTTTGAGGACCTGGTTTGGTTTTACGAGGATACTGGTTTGGACCTTGCCCAAGTGCTCGCTGAAGGACCATCTGCTCCGAAAGTGGATTCTTGAAAGAAATTTGAACATGGAAAGAGTCTATACAATCCTGAGGCCTTAGGTGAACTGGGTACGCAAATGTATCTGCTAAACAAGTGGTACATGGCGACGTGTAAATGGGGAGAGAACTTTGTGTCTGTCAGAGTTAGAAACCAACATTACTTCCATGGCGATGACGTTATATATGTCGAGTTTGGAGAATTACACCAACTATGCCACCTGGACTCTCTCGACAAAAGTCTCATTAGCTGCTATTGTCTGTAAGTGTGATTATTTTCTACTATTAAAGTGTATATATATAAAGCTACATGTATATATATAAATTATATATCATCACACAATATTTTTATATATGCAGATATGAGATGACATAACTCAGAAAGAGACAGGATAATGATGTTGGTTTCGTTAATCCAAATGTCATATTCAAACACCCTGATCCCCCGCCTAGATAGAAAGCTGAACTCAAGAAAAATCTAACGAGGTTCTTAGTGAACCAACAAAATAAGGATATACTCTTCCCCTACAACTTCAAGTGAGTATTAAATAATTAATGTCGATCATATGGACATTTGTTCAATTATTTGCTTACTAGCTAAGCTATCTCCCATATATACATATGTTGACTCTAGTTAATGTCAATCATATTTGTGTATAAAAACATATGCAGCAATCACTGGATATTGATGATCATCGATATGGCCAATAGTCGGTTGAGCATATTAGACTCGTTAAGAAAAGAGCAAATAGAGTACCAAGACATGATAGATATTATCCAAGGGTAATTTGATTTCTCTAGCAACTATATATACCCCGATCTCTTAACTGCAATAATTATTAAAGGCCAACTTAATTTTTTATTTTATTAGGCGCAGTGTTTGGAAAAGTTTAATTGAGAAACACCACATGAAACATTGCAAAGCGCCACTGGATGTAATCGCACACAAAGTAAGTACTAGTTACATTTATATATATATAATTCAATTAACACCATGCATGCTTTCAATTCACCGGATCTTTTTTCTCGTAAAAGTGGGTTCTGAGGCAAGAACAGGGGAACAACTACTACGGATACTATGTTTGCGAGTTCATCATGGCGTACTCAAAAAGAACTCCTGAAGAGAACCTCAAAGTACGTTATATAAATATATTCATATATTTACAATTTCTTTTATTGCTCATATATATAAGTAATCACGTGACCAACATATATATATATATTAATACTTTTCCTTTAACTTTTATTGAAGACTCTATGGTTGAGGAAAAAGTTATACGACGTGACCAACTGAAAGCAATTCAAGAGACCATAGCAGAATTTCTTAATGACCAGGTCCTAAACCCCGCCGGCGAGTTTTACAATGACGTGAACAAAACATAGAAGCCAAACTAGATGGAGTGAATTTGTTATCCCAAGGATATAATAGAATATACAATATAAGCTTTATTTATATATATATATACATATTATATGTACATAAAATAACGTACAATATATGTATATGCGTGTAATATATACATTAGTTTCATACTTTAGTTTGTACAAAATGTTCGAACATTATATTATAAACGTGTAGAATACGTATATTATTAGCAGCGTAGAATGCGTATTCGAAAACATATTCGAAAACTAAAATGAATCATCAATTGAAAATAGAAACCAAAAAAAAAGAAAAAAAAAAAAAACCTTTACCAACCGGGACTAAAAGGCCGACCCACGTGGCCAAGTCGGGATGCCTCTTTAGCCCGGACTAAAGATAGACTTTTAGTGGACCTTTAATGCCCAGGCGCGAAACCAGAACTAAAGGAGAGGCCCTTTAATCTTGAATTCATGCTCTTGGTTCTAAAACCGGAATTGAAGGGGTAGAGAACCGGGAGTACAGCCCGTTTTCTACCGGTGAATATAGTAATAATTCAACTTTCAAAATCTTTTTTATGAAACAAGAATTTGGTATTAATCGGGGGCTTTCAAAAGTTATTGATGCTTAAAATATATAATGTATATAAATTATTGGTTTGAGCGGTGAATTGTCGTAATTCACGTAAAGAAACAGCACGCAAAAGAATTAATAGTAGTCAGAAGAACCTTATGATCGGGTGATACACTGATACGCGTGCAAGTACAACGTGCTTTTTATTTTATATATATACTACAAAACCGCTTTAGTTTCTTATAGTATTAGAGAAGAGACAAAGAAAATGTATAAAAAGATTGTGAAAATCGCCTTGGCCCATGGCCGACACGTTCTTTGTGCTCGAAGCGAGGTCTCTCGTAACACGCATACACCAGGTCCATAGGCCCACCCTCACCGGGTCGGTGTGGGCGGAACGAAAGGGACCGCTGCTCTACTCTGCTCTGCCTGCCTGCCTGCCCCCTTCCTCCTCCACTCCTTCCTCGTGGTCAGGCTCAGGCACGCTGAGCATCCGCACCTGCTCGCCCGATCACCCCCAGCGTTTTCTTCTCCCGTTCACCCCGCGTGCGGGCGCTGCTATCCTTCTCGTGGCGACGTCTGGGCGACCGCCGCCGCGGCCCTACTCCAGGTGCCGTGCCTAGGTATTCGCCGGCGACGAGCACAAACCAGGTATGCCCACCCCTTCCTCTTCCGTACCTTACAAAACCCAGTACCCAAACCCTAAATTAAAATGTTTGGCTATTTGTATTCGGATCTGATCTAATTACAAATGCATACATGTATTATTATGCCTACTATTTTCGATTTTCTTTTGCAAATATTATCGGGTCTTATTTACTAGTCGGCTCAGCATGAAACCAAATTATAGTAATATTTTTTTCTCCGACACTTCCTAATAGGATTAATAAACTCATAAATCATGGCCTTTCACAATAATAGACTCTAATATCTACCAATCCCAGCTTACTCTATCACACACCCTAACTTATACTATATATATATATAGCGGTTCAGTATATTTATGAATAACTCCACTATCTTTGTATGTATATATATGACAAAAGGTACATGAGAAATCCTTTGTTTCGAATTTGTAGCTTAGGCTATCTCTGTGGGGATCTTCTGTGAAGCAAGCGAAGTTACCTAGCGCACAACTCAAAGTTCAGTAGATTATTGAGGATCAGCATTTCAGCCATCTGTATTTTAGTTAATATATATGATGGCCAATGGTAACATCTGGTTAGAAAGATAGAAACTCATTATTGCGCTACAGATGGTTGGCTATAATGACTATGGTAGTGCCCTTTTGGCATAAGAACTAAGCTGGAAATTGATAGATCCAAGTTATTAATGGAGCACGATTCCTGTGATGATGTACATGAGCATGTTATAAGTGTAGCACATGGGGAAACTGCATCAACATCAACCAGTCATCAAGATATGTACAGTGACTTGGATGAACCGCATCAGGAAGATAGGCCATCAACAAGCACAGAAACCCCGTCATCAGAGTCTTCGCCGTCAATATCACCAACTGCATATAGCTCCAGAAATTTATCTTCTCCTAGAAGAGATAGTATATATGGTCATGGAAGAAGTCCTTGGAATTCTGGTTTGTGGATCTCGTTTGAAATTGTCATGTACATTGCTCAGGTTGTAGCTGCTATTGTCATCCTCATCTTTTCAAGACATGAACATCCCCATGCTCCTTTGTTCGCATGGATAATTGGATATACAGTTGGCTGCATTGCTAGTCTTCCTCTTATTTATTGGCGGTATGTTCATCAAAACAGACATTTGGACCAAGAACCTCAGCAGCCACCTACAGCATATCCTACTTTGACTCCCTCTCAGTCATCGGAAGGACGCAACCATCGTACCAGTGGTGTTGTCTTGCGTCTTGGATGTATCGCAATTTCTTGCCCAAGGTAACTTTTAGTCCATGCCACTTTCCAACTAGAATATCCTGAGCCCACTAGGTGTGCAGTGCTTCTTCGCAGTCTTTATGTTTTGTGTATCTTATAATTTATTACAAGACTTATAAGAAAACATGGTAGATGAGTGAACAAATTGTTAGTTTAATTGAATGGGTTATTATCACCAGGGTGTCCAAAAATTAATCTATTTTGAGCAATTCTTTAGTTTACATAACATTATTTGTTAGTTATTTAAAAAGCTACAATATGGGAACAAAGTTTTGAAGAGAGTAAATCAAGACTTATCTTGATGGTTCACAAAGATCATTATGACTGGTTATTTTGTCATATGAGTTGTAGATGCATACTGAGGTGGCTGTGCCAACGCCACGTTGATGGCACAAGAGTAGCATACCAGTCATCAAAACTACTTGATAATCTCATTTAAGACATTGACCCAAGTTCCATGACTAAAATACCTAGTTCTGTGGGTCATGTCCTATCTCAACCAATGGTACAATTCTAATGGTCCATGATGCCATGCAACCAATTAAAAGAGAAAAATAACATAACTGGGAAAAAATAGAAGCAAATGAACTTATTGGTTTCTGTACATGTTTTGTTTGTTTACAAGGTAGTGTTGTTTGCAGGGACATTATTTTGTTTAATCTAGTGTGAGTTTGCTGTATGGTTAGTTCTAGGATGTCTCTCTACACATACTTTCTTTTTTCTCCATACTCATTTTTATTTGCTTTAGTTGAATTGGGCGAAGCAGTTGAAACTGTGTTTGCATAAGACACATGTACCGATTTTAGTGTGCCATAGAGTCACTAAAAATTTCAAAGGTACATATTACAGCACATTCAATCTGGAATCAAGTTTTGTCATTTTTAGGCATGTAGTAAGTACCACAGGAAGGATTCTACAACACATCTGTACAATCTTGAGTCAAGTTTTGCCACCTGTTCACGTGTCCTGGAGCCATCTAAGACTTTTTTACATGGAAATTTTGAATTTCATACTTACATAGCATATAGCATGGTCATTCCCGCCTTATCCTGTAACATTGTCATGTATGTTAGGTAGGGTCCTCTCATATTAAGTGAGGAAAAACGGCAGACAAAGTATGTCTGCTTCAGAAGCATCATTAAAGGCACACGATAATGTGGATCATGACATGTGCTGTTCAGTGTTCACCTGAAAATTGAACTTTTGATAGTTTCATTACTCAAGTGCGTTTCAAAGTTGGCTAGTAGCATCTTGAAGAATTGAGTGGTCCGATATATTACAACAGTTAGTTTTATCTGGAAATTGAAATGAACATTGTTGTCTGAACTCTGAAATTATTATGCATTACAGGCTTAGTGTTCTGGCTTATCACTTCAAGACAGCTGTTGACTGTTTCTTTGCTGTATGGTTTGTTGTTGGCAATGTGTGGATTTTTGGTGGGCGCAGTATTTCATCAGATGCTCAGGACGCTCCCAATATGTACAGGTATCTGCATTGCTCTCTGTTTCTTTTTTAGTCTGTTGAATTCACACGTGACTTTGCTCCCTTTCACCAGGTTGTGTTTGGCATTCCTCGCGCTTAGTTGTGTTGGATATGCCATTCCCTTTATCATGTGTGCAGCAATATGCTGCTGCTTTCCGTGCTTGATTTCTGTTTTGCGCCTTCAAGAAGATTTGGGTCAAAATAGAGGAGCTACTCAAGAGCTAATAGATGCATTGCCAACCTACAAATTCAAACCAAAACGTAACAAAAACTGGGGGATTGACCATGCTTCAAGCTCACAGCATCTTGATGAGGGTGGCATCCTCGGCCCAGGAACTAAGAAGGAAAGAGTTGTTTCAGCTGAAGATGCTGTGAGTATATTTCACATCCTTTTGCTGTCTTACAACAATATCTTATGCGTAATTGCAGGGTTTACTTTAGTGATATTTTTTTAGGTTTATTATCTGTTAACATCTCTATTACCACACAAATGAAGCCTATATGATTGTGAAATTGTGATGCTGTTTGTAGACATGTTCTCCGGTGATGCATGAATACTTACTATTATTCTCAATTTAAAACATAAATAGTTCTCTCAAGTGCTCTAGGTGAATGTTCTTGGTCTGTGAGTAATACCATAGTTACCAGAATCGTGGTTGGTTGGGTTCATGGCACGAGTTTGCAATTGACTACCTAAATGTGATGTTGTCTAGGAGTAGGCTGCCAGGCTGTTAAGCCCACCAATCCAGCCCACATACATCATCTGTAACCTAGCCGCCTGTCAAGTTATTGACTCTCTGGACTCCCAACTCCAGCCACTACAGAGTGTCGCCGCTGCCAGCCTGCCAGACACTTTGTCCATGATCCTCCTCCTTGCCATCTGTGCTTCTCTGCTCCAGCAGCAAAAGCTATTCTCATGCTCCCCTGCCCTGCCCTGCCCTGCTCCTAGTGCTTGTCCTCACACGGCTGCAGCTTCGCCTCTTGTTTTCCTGAGTCCTCTTGACGGCATTCAAGACAACTGTGGGGAGGATACTGAGGGCCTGTTTGGTAGAGCTCCATCTGATTCTGATTCTCTATGGGAGCTGATTCTCTAAGAGAAGTGATTCTCTTTGATTCTTTAGCATAAACTCTTAAAAACACGATGGAGAATCACTTCACAGAATCAGGAGAAGCTGCTTTTTTCAGCTCCCAGCCTCTTAGTTCATTTCAGAGAATCACTTCTCTCTGGGAGCTATGCCAAACGGGGCCTGATGCTGTAACTGCTTTGGAGCTCCTTGGGTAAAACCTCCATCTCCTCACATTTTGTTCCATTTGAGATCGCTCCAGCAGTCCAGCCCCATGTACCAACTTGCGTTTTGGTGGAATTCAGTTTACCAGAAGCTGTGAATCGCTTCATGCGTTATGGTGACAATGAGTAATACCTTGTACTAGTCTGTCCATGTATTCTTCTGATACTGTGACTGCCCTGTCCATTTCACATTATTGGTTCTTCTAATCACGAGTCTATTTAATGGTAGATGTTCATCAATATTTCCGCACATTACCACTAGTGAAAATGTGAAAGAGATTAAGAGGTTCTTGCATGCCATTTAATAGCGGCTACTACCATTTCTTATTATTCTTTGCTGACTTAGTGGCAATTTGATCTGACGTCTCTGCACATGATAATTAGGGACTAATATTGCAAAATGGGAGGGGTGTTATAGTTATGTGCTCATGCTTGTTTGCATGTTTGAACTCCATTTCAAAGCATTGATTATCCAGCAACCGATCACTCTTTTGGAGTAGTCAATGTTGTATTCTGTATTTTCTACTCGATCATTTATTAGTGAGCTCACTCATAAAAGACCTTACCCTTAGTTAATACTTCCTCCATTCCAAATTATAAGTCATTCTGGTTTTTTAGATACATAGCTTTTGCTATGCACCTAGATACATATTATGCCTCGATACATAGCTTTTACTATGTATCTACAAAAGTCAGAATGATTTATAATTTGGAACAGAACGAGTAGTATAGATCCAATCACATAGTTTCCCGTCTTCCATAGCATGTTAACTGTAACGTCTACTGATATTGATGCAGGTGTGCTGCATCTGTCTTACAAAGTATGGAGATGATGATGAGCTTCGTGAGCTTCCTTGCACACACTTCTTTCATGTTCAATGCATAGATAAATGGCTCAAGATAAATGCAGTGTGCCCACTCTGCAAAACAGAGATTGGGGGTGTGGTTCGATCTTTCTTCGGCTTGCCATTTGGCCGCCGCCGTGTTGATAGGATGGCTGGAAGAGGTGTAGGTAGCTCAAGATTCAATGTATAGAACAATGTTGCTTTTCTGTGATATCCTCTCTTACGCATAAAGTGCCCTGCTCATGTTGTTGCAATGGTTTGATTGATTGTCAAGGAAAGCACTGTGTGCTTGACTTCAAGACAATGACACCTGGTGGAGACCTGATGCTTCTAGGGGCAAGTTTCTGTAGAAATGTGAAGGACCTAAGGTGCTGGCGTGCTGCTATACTCTGATGTAACATTTTTTCCAAGGATGTAAATGAGGAACATGAAGTTCACTTGCCAGGTATATTGCAAGCAACTTCACAGGTGTTCTAGCATTGGCCTTGGTGTTCTTTAGTAAAAGTTCTGTGATTCTCTTTATCACGGCAGTGCACTGCAGGCTTGGTAAAATGTGAAATAAAAGGCAATGACCTATTTATAGAACCCAATGCCTCGAAGCCAATACCCTACCATTTTGTATATATTTTGTTGTTTTTTAGATCCTATTACGTTTTGGATGAGAGGAAACCTAACGTTTCTGACATGCACGACTTATTGTGGCAAGTTTTCATCAGAGATTCAGAATATACATTGAAGTCCACTTGGCTCATGGATGGCACTTGACTAGAAACAGGTGAAATGAAACTATAACCTAGAGGAAGAGTGCTATGGACCATTGTAACAGGTAAGCTTGAGGATATAAGTTCTTGTCACCTGCCATTTAGTGTATGACATAGTGTCACCAGCTGGTAGGCATCACCACATGATTTTGCTTGGTTTTTGGTTTTGGGTGTCCTGCATGATGTCAAGTGTGCATGTTAGATGTCATGGGTTGTTTGGTTGGCAAATCCAGTCATGGCTCATGAACACCCTAAAACTTGAAGTCAAAGCCATTTCCCTGAAACTACTTTTTTTTAATGTATATATACATAAACCCCAAGTTGGACGTAGGACTGAGTACATCCATTGAATGGCAAGTTGCTCCTTGGATGGTCAACACCCTTTTCTTTTCGGTGGCACATTCTCCGTGGCAAAAGATTCTGCAGTGCACAGCAAGTCAGCAACAGGCCACTGGTTTACGCAGTGTTTTGGACATTGGTAGCAGGTGCTTTTCTATTACTTTTTCCTAATCGTATACATTAGCAAAAGTTGCTGCTAAAATGTAAAGACGGGAGTGTCTCCGATGAATAGATCTACTAACGTCATGTGCTCTTACCAATCGTAAACATATTCTTAATCTTAGTGGCCAATCTTTTGACGTGTTGACTAATTGCTACGCATAGTTTAGGGCAAAGGAGTGACGCGTTGATGTGAAGCAGCTACGTGCAAATTTAAACCTGCTATCCCATGTTGATTCTTAATTATTCAATCCATTCCAAATTATAAGATGTTTTGGCTTTTATAGATTCATGATTTTTGCTACGCATCTAGATATACATTATGTCTAGATGTATAATAAAAACAATGTATTTAGAAAAATCAAAATATCTTATAATTTGGAACGGAAGGAGTAGAACCGAGGAACTGACAAAGGAAGCAACCTAATTTCTATGCAATACTATATCACTAGTAGTCTATTATAACAAGTACTCCGTACTAAAAAAGGTTTGCTTAAACAAAGTCAAGAGCCATGCGCAATTTGTTGACTGAATTAATGGCATTTTCATCGGACCAAGTATTCAGATGTACCTGTAAGCACTCGTATACCACGATGGAGACGAATGCCCATGAACGTGACGTGGTGATGGAGTGGGTCTAGTCAAGGGTAGGCAGGAAAGAGAAAGGACTGATTCTCTCCCTTCCAAACCGCAAATCATTCTAACGTTTCTAAATAAGTAAAAATTATATATCCAAACATAATGTATATCTAGATACGTATAGAAAAAGCTAAAAGGACTTACAATAATTTGGAATGGAGGGAGAGCTGGACTCCACTGATGTCAATTAGAATGTACGTAGCCTTATTGACTAAATAATGTACCACTCGAATTTAAAACCTAGCAATATTTCTTTTGTTTTTGTTAGTAGGCATATGTTTATCAAAGAACGAGCTAGATACCTAGATTGATGAATCACATGCTCCAATGATCCTATATCTCACACGCTGATGAATAGACAACTCTATGAAGAAGTCTTGGCTTTCAGATTCACTCGAAAATTAGTGTTGGAAATACAAGGTCATAGCAGCACAGACACTGATTAATCTAGCTAATACAACTGAAGACTAGTCCACTAAAGTAGATGTAACCGAAGAAACCACGGTATGTTTGGTTTAGGAATGAATCAACCCATTTTAGATGGGTCATGCGTATTGATACTAATTATTAGTTTTAAAGAAATAAGATGGTGATAAGTCAACTCCTTCCGTTCCACAGACTAAACAAAAAAAAGAGTGAGGGCACCTCCAGTGTCTCGTCGAACCATACAATCGTCCGAACGAAAGAAGAGTTCGATGTCTCCAGTGTGGGCAGCGACTTTTGCACGCAAATGGAATTAAAAAAAAACACATTTATTCGATGAGAGCAGAGGAGTCAGTTCCTGGCTGGGGCGGGTGATGCGTCCAAAACCAATTTTTTATTGCTCTTGGTGCGGCTCATCTGCAAGCACCGCTCTTGGTTCTGACAGTGAACGTCCGAATGCTTCAGTATTGATGGTTCGCTTTCTTCTTCCCTCGGTTCGATCGTTTGTGACCAACACTGGAGCTGCTCTAAGATGATGATGAACTACTTCGTTCCACGGACCAAACACTGTGCCTCTATTGTGATCTCTCTAGCTGTCACTGTTTACCCAGGTGTCAGGGGTGCACGCAAATTGGACTTCATTAACAGACGGGATCGATGCTTCGATGAAACACACATATTTGGAATGGAATCAACATACCCCTAAAAAGAAGATCCGGATCTGGCATTGAATTTGTTGCCACTTCTATTGTACGGAGTATATGCAACTTTGTAGCATGCATGGTCCAAGCATACACAAAATGTGCATCGCATTTTTCCCTTAGCTCAAACACCCTGTTCGTTTGGGCTTGTTTTGCTGATAAGTCATGGTGAAAGGTACTGTTGGTGATTTGATGTGAGAGAAAAATACTATTCGTTGACTGAATTGATAAAAAAATACGTCTTATAAGCTTCTAAACAAGCTCAAACGAACATAGCAGCATCAAACAACCAACCACACAGCACACACCAAAAAAAGGCCAAAACGTCAACCTATATGGAGGAAGTGACTAGAAGAATGCTCATCAGACTGAGCAACAAAAGCTTGTTAAGCAACCAGCGTAATTAGACCGGATATATTAGTTAGGTCTTGTTTAGTTCCTCCTTCAAACTTTACATCATATCACATTAAATATTTGACATATGGAGTATTAAATATAGATAAAAAAATAATTAATTGCACAGATTACGACTACTTTACGAGACGAACCTTTTAAGCATAATTAGTCCATGATTTGACAATAAAGTGTTACAGTAACACATGTGCTAATGATAAATTAATTAGGCTTAATAAATTCGCCTCATAGTTTATCGATAGATTTTGTAATTTATTTTTTTATTAGTCAAACATCTCAATATAACATCAACACTTCGTACCCTCGAACTGACAAATGCAGCGACTGGCGAATCGAATCCTCCGACGACGAGTCGTTGGCTCGTTGCGTCGGCGAGAGCAGAGCAGACAGCACTGAGCTCGCATGCAACAACCCCACCGACACCCCATCAGTCCCCGCAGGCGGGCACGTGGCACTGGTCCCGGCGGTGCAGGAGCGCGCGCGGGCCCCCGGCGTGATTGGCCCTCCTGTCGTCGGGCGTGCGGCAACCCCGGGCGGATTCAAATTTCTTCTTCCTCTTCCTCGATTCTCTCTCTCCTCTCCTTCCCCACTCCTCGCCTCCCCCTCTCGTACACGCCTCCTCCCTTCCCATTCGGACACTTGGTCGTCGCTTCGTCCCCGCAGATCCGCAAGCGCCGGGGCACGCACTAGACACTAGACAGAGAGAGAGAGAGAGGGGGAGACGGAGAGGAGGGAGGGTCGCGGGGCCGGGGGAGGAGGAGGAGATGTCTGCGGCGAAGGAGGCGGGGCCGACCAGCAGGGCGGTGCTTGTGACGGGCGGGGCGGGCTACATCGGCAGCCACGCCGTGCTGCAGCTGCTCACCGCGGGCTTCCGCGTCGTCGTCCTCGACAGCCTCGCCAACTCCTCCGAGCTCGTCATCCGCCGCCTGCGCTCGCTCGCGGGGGCGGACAACGCCAAAAACCTCGCGTTCCACAAGGTAGTTACTCCGGCCAATAAGCACGCTCGCTGTCTGTCCCTCAATGTGGCCGAGCCCTCCGTGTCGAACTGTCGTTCACGCGTGCCGATTTGTGTTCCTGTGATATATATACGCGCCATCGTGCTGTTGGTGTGGTCATTATTTTGGCATGCTGTTGGTATGGTGATTTATTTTGGCCGTGTTGGATGTAATGTTTTTTGCGCCATTATTGGTGGGGCTTTCCATAGGCTTCGTAGGAAAATTTAGATTTAAGCGTGATAATTAGCCGCAAAAAGGTATTTTGGTTGCGTTCCTTTCTGGGTGATCTGAGTTGCCGAGTTGGTTGATCTCTCCATCTGTTTTTATGGGTCCTGCAGCCTACATATTTTTTTCCACGGTTTATTTGGTTGTTTGGTAGAAAATGATGGTGGATTAGTATGCGAATTTGGTTAACTTGCTCAGATTTTACTTGGGAAGGGGGGAAATACGCAGATTGATCTTGGCTAACCTGTATTGGAATTTGGAAGTATAAATTCATATGGAGGATAATATAATCTGATTGCAGATTCTCAACTCCTGTGGTGAAATTTTGGATTTGTCATTTTTGCTTGGTTGCTGTCTCGTGTTTTACTGAATGTAGTAGATGGACAACGATGAGAAGCAGTGAAAGCTTCGATAATTTTAGCATGGTTGTGATTCCTCAAATTCAGATTCTGGGTTTGTTGTCAAGTTATGCTTGAGCTGCAGCTGTTTAGAATTTTACTTGACATTTAGTAGAGCTGCCAAATTGGCAAAGTT